TAAGATGTGTTGTAAATCAAATGGTGCTTACAACAATGTCTAACACTTAGAAAGTATTCAATAAATGAGTTATTGGATATTATTATCATTACAATTTATATATGTTCTTTTGCTCTTTTAGATAGAAATCCACGCTCCTCCTGGTGTTCCAGTAGGTTATGTGACACAGAACTGGCATCCATGCCTACCAAAATTTACAGTTCAAAATGAGAAGAGAGAGGATGTACTTAAAATTGTTGGTCCATGTCTTGTGTGCAGCTGTTGTGCAGATGTTGATTTTGAGGTAAGAGATGTGATCATGTTCATAGGTTTGGCTTTCCTAATGTAAGAATAATATAAATTGGAGGACGTTACGAATATAACAAATCAATATGTGTATCCTGATATCTCAAGAAGGAGATAGTTTGCTCATATATTTATTTAACTTTAATCAGAAAGGTGGTCATAGTTCTCATTGAGCATCATTGTTGATTATGCTAAATGGAAAAAAGAAAAGCGGAGACATTGTCAAATAAATATAAGCAAAACATCTAACACTTAAACACGGTGGCTTCTGTATGGAGGCACTGTATACACAGGGTGCCAAAAAAATGTAAGGAAAAAAACTATTAAAATTGTAATACTCAATATATACCGATAACAAAAGATGAATACAAGTCATGTTTGACATCCACAATTACAAGATGTGCTCAGAGTGGTTACCATCAGCGTCCAGACACTTTTGATTACAGCAAATTAGTGCTTAAGCACAGATAACATCTCTTAAAATGTGTATACATTCTTTTGGTATCCATTTTAAGTAGAACATCTAAGTCTGACTGTCAAAGCATACGGATCCTTCAATCTGACACACAGGCTGCCAGTGGTCTCAGCCCACTTCAGAAGGCCTGACATCTTTGAGTTTCTACAAAAAGTCCAATTATGCTTCTCTTTGGTCTCTTCTTTATCTTTGTATTAAATTGGGTCATTAGTAACCATAGTATATCGGTGTACTTACTATCTGGAAGAATTTCATTACAGCAAGTTTCCAACAGATAGTCTAGCCTTATAGCTCACCGTATTTGATTGCAAATGTGAAAAGTCAGGAG